GACTGCAGCGACGGGCTCGACGTCGACAGCCGGATCGAGTCGGCAGGCCGAGCTTTTGGCGCTCTTCGGAAGTGCCTTTTCAGCTCGAGGGACGTCTCGTTTGCCGCCAAGCGCGCGGTCTACACCTCGCTCATCCTCTCCATCCTGCTCTACGGGTGCGAGTGCTGGGCGCTCACCGAGCGCCTCCTCCACCGTCTCCGCGTCTTCCACGCACAGTGCGTGCGTGCGATGTGTCGTGTCACTCGCAAGCACGTGTGGGAGCACCACATCACGACTGGCGAACTCTGCGCCAGGCTAGGTCTCGACTTCATCGACTACTACATCGACCGACGCCGGCTGGGCTGGCTCGGGCATGTCAGCAGGATGGATTTCAATCGCCTACCTCGTCGCATGCTCTCATCGTGGGTGCCTCACGGCCGGCCGATCGGGTGCCCCAACATGACGTTTGGGCGCAGCATCCGCACCGCGCTCGACAAGTTCCACATCGACCGCTCGAGGTGGCCCGAGCTCGCCGCCGATCGCTCGGCCTGGCGCCAGACGCTGGAGAACAGGCGCCCGCCCGACGCCTTCTTTGCCATGCCGGCGAGGGCTAGGCCGCCCTCCCCGCGCATTGCGCGCACTAAACCAGTGCGCTCATGCTTGGCGAGAACCAATGCAGCGATGGACATCTCGCTACAGGCGCTCGCGGGGTCGTGAGTGGGGGTCCCCACTGCTGCCCCTCTGACTATACATTTGTCTGTGGTGATGCCTTTCCCTGAGAACGCACACAACGCCTCGTGTGTAATGCCCTGTGTTCCGCGAGTGCGTGTGCCCCGTCGTCCATGCTAGGACGTGTGTAACACTGACTGACTGACTTAGTTATCACATATATCAGTTATCTCACACATGCCGATGTACCACAACTCATGACACATGAGTATAATAAACTCCAACATGTGCACCACCACACGCAAAATTCATGTCCGACACACCGAGTCGCCGCGACCGCGCCAGCACGACCACACACGAGCCCAGGCGCCCCAGGGTGGAGAACGACAGAGACGTACCGTATCAGTACACACACACTTTTCGTGACCTGACCATATCTTGGTCTCTCGCGCACATGCCGACACATCTCATGGCATGTGTACCTTTCATCTCGCAGACGGCGATCAACTGCTGGCCTCGACTGTTGGAGACGCCGCGCCATCGGCTTGCTGCGGGGCCTCATCGGGCGCCTCGACGGCGACGACGTACGCCGCGAGCACCCGTTGTTGGTTGTCGTCTCGCGCCGGCGCGGCGCCGCCAACGAGGCACGAGCAGAGGCGGCCAACGATGTCCATGCTCGCCCGCTGCAGCCCAAAGAGCAAGAAGGAGAGGAGGCCCTGCCCGTCCTCCAGCGCGACCATCACCATGACCAGCTCGACGGTGGCGGTCGTCTGCGCGATCCCTCCCTGGTCGCGGTAGTACCAGCCGCACAGGCCCGCCTGGCCGAGGCACTTGAGCGCCATCGCCGCAACCAACACGCCGACGGAGAGCGGGTACGGGAACGGGCTCGTGTCGCCCGGCGCCGGCACGCTCAAAAGCACCGTCTGGCTCCGGCGGCGGCCAGGCATGTCGCGTGCTACTGCGAGCAGACACGCCAGCTTGGCTGTCCCAAAAAGGGCGTAGAGCACCGCAAAGGCCAGCGCCTGCTTCCGGCCGTACGCGAGCCAGTAGTCGGTGCCCACGTCGGCGGGCGACGGCCGCGGCGGCCCCGCGGCGCCCAGCGAGAAGGGGAGCGAGATCGCGAGGCCGACGGCAGCCGAAGCGGCCAAGTGGAGGCCGAGCCCGAGGCGGCGTTGCGGCTTCCCGCGCAGGCGGCTGCTGCGTGCCCAGTCGAGGGCGAGGAGGAGGAGGGAGGCGTTCGTGGACCAGCGCAGCGCGTCGATGGCCGCGTACTGCAACCTGTAGGTGGGCGTGTCGGAGGGGCGCATGCCGAGCGAGTGGTTCGCCGCCTGGACGCCGCAAAAGGAAGCGGCGAGGAGGCCCTGCAGCACGAAGTGGGCGAGCAGCTTGCGCATGCCGCGGCTCCGCCGCCAGTCCGGAGTGAGCGCGCCGGTCAGCGCGAGGCAGACGCCCCCGGCGAGGGAGAGGCAGAGCATCGCGAAGGAGAAGGTCGCCTTGATGCGCATCGCCTCGCGCGGGCTTGACTCGGAGGCGAGGATGCCCGCAAAGAAGAGGAGCAGGAAGGCGGCAACCTTGTTGAGGGCGAGCGCCGAGCTCAGCGTCGCGAGGAGCGGGCCGGAGGCGCCGTAGATGCGCGCGATCACGAGCGCCGAGTTCGCGCACGGCAGCAGGGCGTAGAGGAAGATGTAGTCGCCGTCGGGCTCGACCCAGCGCATCGCGAGGAAGGCGGCCATCGGTAGACAGAGGCTCTTGAGGGCGACCACGGCGAGAGGCAGCACCGCGGCAGGCAGCGAAGTGAGCGAGTCGAAGGCGCCGACGAAGCCGAAGCCGCCGATGAGGTAGACGAGCGGCTGAAAGGGCCGGCCGAGTAGCTCGATGGGATACGATGCGAACCAGGGCAGCGGCGCCGCGACGATGAGGCGGTACGCGAGGCCGGCGAAGACCGAGAGGACGAGCATGTTCGATCGGAGGCCCACGAGCACGGTGCACAGGGTGGCGGCGAGGGACGGCCGGACGGCTGGCTCGCCGCTCCTCGCGCCGCTGACGCCGAGGAGGACGTACGCGAGCGGGTTGAAGAGGAGGGCCTGCCGGGGCCGGGGTCGGGGGTGGGGGTCAGGGTCAGGGTCGGCGGCTGGAGCGGGCTGGGTAGGAGCGGCGAGGAGGAGGTCCCGCATCGCGGCGAGGGTTAGGGTTAGGGTTGGGAGGGCTGGGGAGCAGGAGGTCCCGCATCGCGGCGAGGGTTAGGGTTAGGGTTGGGAGGGCTGGGGAGCAGGAGGGCCTGCATCGCGGCGAGGGTTAGGGTTAGGGTTGGGAGGGCTGGGGAGCAGGAGGGCCTGCATCGCGGCGAGGACGTAGAGCGCGTCGACGCGGCCGGGGAAGAGGATGCCGAGGATGGGGACGCCGAGCCCGACGTCGTCGCTGTTTGTGCCGAAGATGGCAAACAGCGCCCCTCGCAGGAGGGGCTCCCCGGGCGCGCCGCCCGCGCGTGAGGCGGAGCGGGAGCCGATCAGGTACGCGGCTCCGAAGACGAGCGCCTTTGCCGAGCCGATCACGAGCATCAGCGGGAGGATGCCGGCGGCGGGCTGCAGCTCGGAGAGCGCTCTGAAGAGCACGCACGGAAAGCCGATCACCGCGACGTAGTGCCCGATTCCCGCCTCGGTGACGGGCGTGACTGCGCCGGACCGCTTGAGCAGGAAGCCGAGCAGCTGGATGCTCATCACCTCCAGCAGCACCTTGCCGAGCATCTCGAGCGCGTCCGGGCTCAAGTGGCCGCCCGGCGGCGGCGCCGCGGGCGGCGCATCCACCGCGGTCGTCGGCGGCGCCCGGAGCGCATCCGACGGGCGGGCGGCAGAGGGCTCGGCTGCAGAGGGCTCGGCTGCAGAGGGCTCGGCTGCTGGGCTCGGCCCGAAGACGCCGAGCAGCACCGCGCCGGCGACGACGGTCGCGGCGGAGGCGAAGAAGACCGCGATGGCGGAAGGCTGGCGGATCTCGCGGAAGAGGAAGATGCCGAGCAGCCCTGCGACGACCAGTGAGGCCTGCAGGATCGGGTACGCGACGCCGTACGGGACGGAGTAGGCCGACATGGCGAGGAGCTGGCAGGCGTTGGACAGGTTCCAAACCAGCCCCGAGCCGAGCCCCGCGAGGAGCGTGCCGCGGCTACCGAGCGGCACGGGCTCGCCGCGGCAGGCACGGAAGGCGGCTGCGAGGCTGGCCGCCGCAGCGAGGCAGCCGCAGCCAAACGAGGGCAAAAAGGCGAGCGAGGCGACGCCAGAGAACTCGTCCGAGGGGAGGAACTTGAGCGGCACCAGCACCGACCCGCCAAACAGGCCCACACTGGCCGCGGCACAGATCCCGAGCGGCCGTGACCCGCCCACTCCGCCGCCGCGCTCTGCCGCGGCCAAGGCTGCCGCCGCTCCCGCAGAAGTCACAGTCAGCGGCGGCGTGTCCGGCGACTCTACTGCGTCACCCGTCGGGCTGCTGGCTCCACTGCTGGTGGCGGTGCCAGTGGCGGTGGCAGCACCGCCGCCAGCCATGAGCGGCTCGAGCGTCGGCGGCACGCCCCGCTGCTCGATCCACCCGCCCAGCTCGTCACTCTTGACAATGCCGGCCACCCCGAGCAGGAGGAGGCCTGCAGCGAGGAGGCTCAAAGGGAGAGAGACCACCGGCAGCCCGACTGGTGTGGGACCAAGAGTGCCCCACAGGAACGCAACCAGGATGGCAGCGCCGCCCCAGACTCCCTGCGCCGTGGACAGGCCGACGTTTGCGCAGGCGACAAAAGAGAGCGACGAGGCACCAACAAAGAGTGCGCCGGCGAGGGCGCCGAGAGGAACGACGGCAGGCGGGTGGCCGAGCAGACCCATGAACGGGAGCACGGCGCACGACGACGCCCACACTCCCAGCGCGAGGTAGAGGTTGAAGATGAATGGGTGGACAAGGCCCGCGCTCTCGAGCTTGGAGAAGGCGGCGAACGATCCGTTGAAAACCGCGCTAAGCACTGCGAGGGAAAGGCCGACGGCGGACGCCATGGCAACCAGCGCTCTTGACACAGCCTTGTTATTGAGAAGAAAATACTTGCCAGGACTTGGGACACTTCTCCCCCCCCCTTTCCTCCTCCTTTTTCCCCCCCCCCCCCCCCTCTCTCTCTCTCCCTCTCCCTCTCCCTCTCCCTCTTACTTCCAACCGCCAGCACACCGCCAGACGGGCCAGCCTCCTCCTCCGCGGCCAGGGGCCTGCGCAGCCGCCCACGCCGTCTGCTGCGCAAGCACAGCCGAGTGGCGTGCGGGGTGTGCACGTCTAGATCTCGCACAGCCACGCGGCGGTAGACAATCAGCACGGCCACGTTCGCCAGGGCAAACGGCGAGAGGCAGGGTGTACTCGCTGATGATGCTAGCGACGAGGAGCCGATGGTACCACGGTGTGAAAAGCTGCGGCCGAGAAGTGGGAGGCCGTCAGTGGTGGTGTGAGTGAGACGTGCTCCTTGCGCCGGCTCAACGCGCCTCTCTTCGTTAGCGTCAACGTCGACGCGGGAGCCTGGCTGGATGTCGGTGCAGTGCGCATGTCAGGTATGTGTTGTCAGCGCGCGGGTATGGCGTGGGTGCCGTGAGGGTGGGCATGCGCGTGCGACATCAATCACCAGCAGCGTAGGGCAGACGACGGGGAGGCGGAGCAGACGCGCAGGGCGAGACGAGGGAGGGAGCAGGACTTTGCGGAGATCAGCAGGAGGATGTACGATGAGATTAGGAGCAGCAGGGACCCGGAGGCGACCATGTGGTTGTGGAAGAGTGGAAGACGGCTAGTGCTAGAGTCCCCCATCGGGAGGACGACCCCGGCTAGTCGCCGACCACACCCACAAAGAACCCTGCACAAAGATCCATCTCACAGTGAGGAGCGTCCGTTTTTATTTTGCGGCCTAGATGATCTAGTAACTTGAGCACTTGTGACTTGAGCACTGGATAGGGTCGATTCCGCACTGAGGGAGGGTGTAGAGGATGTAGAGTGTAGAGCGCCCTGTAGAGCTGTAGAGATGTAGAGCGCTCTGGAGCGCTGTAGAGCTGTAGAGCTCTACATCCGCCGCGTGACGAACTGCCTGCGTTGTAGAGCGATGTAGAGCGCGATTTTGCTGTAGAGTTTGTTGTAGAATGAAGAGGCTCTACAGCCAAACCGCCGGGAAGGCAGTGACTCAAAGAGGTCGAGCCGCGCTAATGGGGTGTCTCCGAGCTTACTGGAGCTCTGATGGACGGCCCTGACTATCCCTGACACACAGAGAGTCACTCTGACGACACACAACACCCTACAACTGCGTCATGACCAGCCTCGTGCCATGCGTCGCCGGTGCCGCATTCGTCGCTGTGCTTCAGGCGGTGGACTGCTTCAGATTCCGCATGGTACGGGACCCCTCGATCGTCTCAGTAACTTGGGTAGATGTCACGCCGGAAGCTCCGACGGTACAGCCCGTGCCTCCCCGACCCCGTCTTTGTAGCCTCTGCTTTGTCCCCCTTTCCCCTTTATACCGCAGGCCGAGTCTTAATTTCTTTTGCCCCCGCGTTGCCGTGCATTTGTCCCGGTCACGAGTGCCATGCGGCTCATCGGTGCTGGCTCAGCGTCGAACTTTGGGCCGACAATGTATCATTTCGAGCTGCAGCAGGGAAGCCAGTCGGTCTCGCTGTCATTTCGGTACTCAGCTCTACGAGTACTGCGCGAAGAGGTTGATCTACGCTGGCCCGATTTGGCCAGTCGCCTC